AAGGTTATACAGTTAACAATACATCCTGTATTCCCAGTCTCTCAAAGCCGCTACAGAGCCTTCCGTAGCTCCAAATACAGTCTGCTAGAGATGTTCTATGTTTACATGAGCATATACATGTATGTGTTCCTTCTATGTAAATGACAGTATACTGTATCTATTGTTTTGCACCTTACTTTATTCCCTTATGAATTTGATATTACTACATATAAATTCAATTCATATAAAACCCTGCTTTAAAAAAATAACTATATAGCCTCCATACTGTTCCATTGTACAGATGTATCATTTATTTAACTGGTTTGTGACTGAGGGACATTAGGCAGATTCCAATCACTTCTGCACTGACCTGCAAGGAAGATTCTCATGTACTATAAGCACCTAATGACCAGATACTGTATAAGCTATTTTTAGGTGCTAACATAATTTTAGTTCATCAAGATGATCCAAAGAGAAGAATAGTTTCAAAGTGTCCATGGAGAAGAAACAATACAATTCTTTAGCTAAAATCAAAGGTTATTTTATTTTATTTTTAAAAATTTTATTTATTTGACAGAGAGCGAGAGAGGGAGAGAGAACACAAGCAGGTGGGAGACAGAGGGAGAGGGAGAGGCAGACTCCCTGCCAAGCAAGAACCTGACATGGGCTCGATCCCAGGACCTTGGGATCATGACTTGAGCCGAAGGCAGAGGCTCAACCAACTGAGCAACCCAGGCACCCCTCAAAGGTTATTTTAAAGTCAACAAAGCCTCACTTAGAAAGAATTCTATCAAATTAGGTCTTACAATAAAGGTAAAAATGCAAAGAAAAACTTCTAAACATTAAATTTTGGTTGCTAATATCTGATTACTGTTGATGCTATGAAAACTACCAACTGACAATTACGAATTATACTCTTCTCTTCAGCTAACTTTAAATTCTGTCCTATAGAACCCCTATGGATTTGGTTTTCAAATAAAAAACAGAAAGTCCTTTAAAAAAAGATAATCAGCAAAACAACTTCACTGAAAACCAAATGCATATAGTTAGGGGACTTATTCTCTTTTATTTATTTTTAAGTAAACTGTACACCCAACATGGGGCTTGAACTCACAACCCCAGATCAAGAGTCACATGCTCCACCAGCTGAGCCAGGCCAGGTATTCCTACGGGGAACTTATTCTTAAAAGGAAGTACTAACTCCTTAAAGAAAGCAACTCCTCATCAACAGCTGGATGAATGCTGTTAGTCCTTTCCCATTTTCCTGTTTCAATGCCTTACTTCCACCTTCCATCAGTTTCCTGATGATGGTTTAGCCTAACTCTGGTTCCAAGACAAACTGAAATAAAAAATAAGATCAAAACCAAATAATTTTTAATAAATATTTAATAATTTTTTAATGAAACAGCTTCAGAAGAACATTATATCACCCAGAGCTAAAAACTGGATTCTGATAGCAGTATTCTGCAGTTGGCAGTGCTATCCGATCAGCTGCAGGGGCCTAAGAGCTACACCTTAGTCCCCTTCTGCTTTCTGGTGAATTCATTTTCCTGGTATCCTAGTCCCTGCCTGGGACTGGAGCCCAGCCTTGAAATCCCAGGGGAATGGAAATTTGCCTCACCAACTTGATTAGATTATATGTCAAGGCACTATTTTAAGTGCTAAATCTGAGAGACAAAAAAAAAAAAAAATCCCTTCTCTTATGGAGGGTGATTGCCTGACACAGTTGGCTAGTTTTTGTCCTTCAAATTCTTCACTGTTCTGCCCTATACATTTTGAACATCTTGGCAATCCCTTTGGTGCTCCCCGCCACGGCAATCAACTGCTGCAAAGTGACCAGGTTTATGAAAGCCCTAGGTACAGTTCCTTATTTACCTAGCCAACCCTTCGCTATCAGCTGCTCTATTAAGCAGACCAAGTGCCAAGTTTTTGTTACTCACCATCTGATTTGCTTTGCTGTGTGTGAGTCATGGGAGAAGTGATGTCTTTGGAAAGACTGCTTAGAGCTAAGTTTAAAGTGTTGCTTCAAGTATGATTTATCTTAAGATTGTCAAATAATGGTAGCCACTAACCACATGTGGCCATTGAGGACCTGAAATTTGGTTGATCGGAAATGGTATGTGCTTCAAGTATAAAATACATACTAGATTTAAAAAATCAGTAGAAAATAAAAGAGGAAGGAAGGAAGGGAGGGAGGGAAAGATAGAGGGGGGAGAACAGGGGGTCCCTGGGGGCTCAGTCGGTTAAGTGTCCAACTCTTGATCTCAGCTCAGGTCTTGATCTTAGGGTTGAGTTCAAGCCCCACATTGGGCTCCACGCTAGGTGTGGAGCCTACTTTAAAAAAAAGAGAAAGAAAGAGGTCTCAATAATTTTTCAAAGTACTGGATAAATGTTGAAGCGTTAATACAGATTTGCTAAATAAAATATATTACAATTAATTTTAGCTCTCTCTTAATTTTTTAAATGTGGCTATTAGATAATTTTTAAATTATGTGTCATTTGCATTATATTTCCACTGAATCGTGCTGCTTTAGAACATTTAGCTAATGGTAGCAACAAAAGAGTCATTATTTTGAGAAATGTGCTTACATATCTAGCTATCATTAGAAGAATACCTAAAAATGGAAGTTATTTGCAGAAAAACTGCTAGCTAATAAATGCTAAAGGAATGCTAAATAAGATCATCATCATTTTGCAATCCCCAATGGAATAACTCATTTAGGTAAGCATCATCAATGGGTGCTAAGACCACTGACAAAAGGTTGCTGTAGAAGAGGATATCCATCCAGGGGCAAAATGATGCCCTACAGATTATTACAAACTGCAAAGACAAGACCTGGTGGTCATTACTTTAACAAATGATCAAACTTAGCATATGATAGTGCTATAACCTGACATTCCATGCCTCTTTTGATATATGAGGTAAATGTTACCAACAACGCATGTTGCCCCAATGTTTTACTGTGAAAATTTTCAAACACATATACAGCAACAATTAAAGAATTTTATGATGAAAATCTATACTCAAATCATGCAATATTTTACTCACTTGCTTTATCACATTATTTATCCATCTCCTTATCCATTTTATTTTGATGCATTTCAAAGTACATTGGAGACCTCATTACATGCCCTCTCTAAATAATCTAAGAAGTGTTCTTGCCAAAAATGGTTAACTTGAATCTACTCTAAACCTAACTTCCAGGTTACAGGAAACACAGGGGCTACAGAGGAGAAAGTTAACTGACACTAAGAGGAAACAGAAAAATCCAGAATATGGGACATCTGTAACATTAGATGATTTAAAAAGTGTATGTCATTAAAAAAAAAAGTTTGAGTGACTAGATTTAAGAGTTTAAAAAGACATATAACAACAAATTCCAATCTGTCCACCTAAATCAGATACTATTTAATAAAAAAAAATTCTTGTAACAATTAAAGAAATATGAATATAAACTAGATGTTAGATGATATTATGGAATTAGTATTAGTTTTCTTAGATGTGGCCATGATCTGTGGTTATGCAGGTGATTACCCTTTTTTTCACGAGATCAATGTTTACATGCATATACATATATACATAGATTTTAAATTTATTCATTTATTTATTTTCTAGAGATAAGGCAAATATAGCAAAATGTTAACAATTATTATATCTAAGAAGAGAATAAACATGTTCACTGTGCTGGTCTTTCAACCCTTCTATACATCTGAAACACTTCAAAACAGAAACTGGGGGGCAGGACAGATTAAAAAAAAAAAAAAACTTGTTGTAGAGAGGCTGATATGGTCTTTTCTGTTTTGTTCTGCCTGGGCCTTTCAGATTAGGAATGTGATCTTTAAAAAAAAAAATCTTACCCCCCCCAACACACACACGTTTCTCTAAAATTATTTTCACCTCAGAGTCAATGCTATATGCAATAGTCCAACTGCTGATTTAATCTAAAATAAGCAAAGGCTTTAATGCTATAGTGTTACAGAAGACAGTTCTCCAATCATAAGGCTAAACTTGAGATCAGGCTCATCGCCACCAGTCTGTGCAATGTATAGATTAAGGACAGGCTGCCATACACCTTCAGACTTTACATACCACTTGTTAAAAGTATCCTACAATAGATCTTGCCTATCTGGCAACTTCAGATATAAAGGTTTTATGATTTCATTTCCTTCAGATTTCCTTCAGATTTCATTCTACTTTCCAACTTATTGCTGCTCCCTAAGTTATCAGAGCAGCTTCACCCTAATGTCCAAAGACATGCTCATCACTCAGGTAGTTAGAAATAGAAAATCAGGAGCACCTGGGTAGCTCAGTGGGTTAAGCCTCTGCCTTCGGCTCAGGTTGTGATCTCAGGGTCCTGGGATGGAGCCCCACATCAGGCTCTCTGCTCAGCAGGGAGCCTGCTTCCCCCCTTCTCTGCCTGCCTCTCTGCCTACTTGTGATCTCTGTCTGTCAAATAAATAAATAAATGATCTTAAAAAAAAAAGAAATAGAAAATCATTAGCAGAGGTCACTGGACACAGTATAGCAGTAACTAAATAAAAGTATTGAATTTATATTACTAACTAAAATAACATTTACAAAAAACAAAACAAAACAAACAAACAAAAAAAAAACAAAAAAACCCCACCCAGATGTGGAATCTTATGTGTGTACATACAGTTGAAAAAAAGAAAACAGCCACTGATAATCACGACCTGTCTTTCAAACTATCGTTAGAAAGAGCATATAACTTGCAAAAAAAGAGGTGCTTTGGAGGAAGGGGGAAAATGACTAGATAGTATTAGACATGAAACTAAAAATTGGTATAATCAGGGCTTAGGTTTTACAGTTAATGCTCTTTGGGTGAGATTGGGCACATTCAAGGTGGTATGGCCATAGACAAGGGTACTCTTTGCAAAAAAAGAACAACAATAAAGTATAAAATCACCTTAGTGAAGATCAGTCAGCACACAGATTTAATAAAGTAATTAATTACATCTGTCTTGTTTCAGATGCAATAAAATAAGGAAATGATATTTACCAGGGTTTGTCTTCTCAAGTTGGTACCATCGGTAAAATGCTCTTTTCTTCTGTTCACTCAGGTCTGACCCCTGCTGTAACAGCCAGTGAGAGATCCGGCTCTGACTGATACCTGTGGAGAAAGAGAAACAGCTATTGCAGGTACTTAAAGTCCAGGGAAGCTGCGAGTTCTGTTGGTTCTAGGTTACTGGGTCCTTTATTCTCTGTGTTAATCTGTAATGAAGCAACTTGAACAAACTCTCTAATATTAGATTTCTTTGTAAAGGCTGACTGCACTGGCTGGAATATACTCAGAAATGATCCACCAGAGGTCAAAGCATTTTATTAACCAAGACGTGAAAGTGGTCTCTAAAACGAATCCATAAGCCAGGTTCATGTGAGATAAATGAAGAGATTCCTAATTAATAGTTGTAGGTCGGAAGTTGACTACATTTGTACTCTGACCACCACCCCCCGCTGCAGCCCAATCCTGGTTGAGAATGTTAGAATATTAGAACTTTTACCAGATACTGAGAAGGAAGAAAAAAAAAATCAAGCCAGCAAGTTTTGCTATTCATTATCAACACTGAGAAAAAAGATTTAGGGCCCAAGAAAGGAGAGATTATTGAAAACAGTCTCTTCAATAAGGTTTCCGGCTTATTTGTTAATTCATATAGGCATTTCCAGACTCGTTACTATTACTACATATAACAAAGAATTGGAAGAATTTTAGGTTATGTTGCAGTATGACCTCTTAAGAAACCTCAAGAAGTAAAGACATCTTTCTAAGACACAGACTTATTAAAAAAAAAAAAAAACTGAACAGAATATAAAGCAGTGGTTTTCAGTTACCTCTAAGAAGTTCTTGACAGCAATTAATTAGAAATGTGGAAAAACCTCCACATGTGAAAGTAAGAAAGCATGACTAAAACTTACTAGTATGAGAATCACATGCTTCTTCTGGTCATTATAGCTATTTCAAAAATGAATAATTCAACATGCAACTGGCAAAAGCAAAGAATAATAGGAAAGATGAAACTGTCTTATATGCCCATAAGTCACTTTCCAAAAGACTATTCAGCTATCACAGAGGGTTAACAGTATCTAAATTCTCCTAAGGAGGGGCACCTGGGTGGCTCAGTGGGTTAAAGCCTCCGCCTTCGGCTCGGGTCATGATTCCAGGGTCCTGGGATCGAGCCCCGCATCGGGCTCTCTGCTCTGTGGGGAGCCTGCTTCTCTCTCTGCCTGCCTCTCTGCCTACTTGTGATCTGTCAAATAAATAAATAAAAAATCTTTAAATTCTCCCAAGGAATTACTTATAGTAACTGGATGGTACTGAATGCCATGTGTGCCAACACCTGTTTAAAGCTATAATGCACAACAGGAAGAATAGTTATCAGGAAGAAACACACCTCCTAACATGAGAAGAAGCAGGAGGTCTGGTGATCACATTTAACTCATTAGAAGCAAGTCCCCAGAGTTTCATACTTTGGAAAACCTATGTTACAAGAAAATGGGAGGAAACTGGGGAGAGATTTGTTAAAAGAGAGGTTGGGGTTTGAATCATGTTTCTCTGATTGGAAATGCTTTTCACTTTGAAAGGGTAAAAGTCAAACAGTTTTCCAAAACCTAAGTGATTACATTCTCAAGTAATTCACACAGTAGTTTTCCAGTGGACTGAGGATCTATGTGATGCAGGTGCTGGCAGCTAGCACTGTATGCTTGTTCTAAGAGAATACAAATTATTCTGGATAATTAAATTGGCTGTTTAGCAATGCTTTCACCAAAAGTCTAGACATTATACTACTTTTTATATTACCTTTAAACAAGAGTGGAAAAAAAAAAAACACAACCCAACCATTTACCACCATAAAATCAAAACTGGTTTTCATGTCATAAAATGGAACTATTTTTTTTTTAAATTTATTTATTTGACAGACAGAAATCAGAAGTAGGCAGAGAGGCAGGCAGAGAGGCAGGCAGAGAGAAAGGAGGAAGCAGTCTCCCCGCTGAGCAGAGAGTCCGATGCGGGGCTCGATCCCAGAACCCTGGGATCATGACCTGAGCCGAAGGCAGAGGCTTTAACCCACTGAGCCACCCAGGTGCCCCAAAATGAAACTATTTTATATGGATTCTTCATATTGGTACTACACTATTCATAAAGAGGAAATTCAAGAAAAATCTGTTAAGGAAAAAAAAAAAAGGATACACAGATATTCTGAAACTTTCAGTATTGAATCTTCTGCACAGAGATCACAGAGCCCATTAGATATTGGAGCTGTCCAGGTTCTGGCTGTGCTGTAGTGGAGGAAGAGGAAAAAGCCCATCAAAAGGAGATTAAATTATGGACTACTCACATAAAAAATACAGAGCAGACTTTTAAAATGTTCTTAAACAGCCAAAAAACCAAAACTAACACAAAAACAAACCAACCAAACAAAAAGCCATCAATATCAAGTGTTGGCAAGGGCATAGAGTGTATGGAACTCACACTTCTGAGCGAAGGGTAAGATGTCAAGGCCACTAGAGAAACAACTGAGCAGTATCTACTAAAGGGAACATATGGATACCGTATGGTCTAGCAATTTCTTTCCTTGATATACAGCACAGAAATCTGTACATACTCAAAAGAAATGTGGGGCAAAAGGCATGTACAACTTGTACACATACAGACCTACAGAAGCATTATTCATAATAATCCCCAATCTGAAACAAGTCAAACACAAATCAACAGAATACATAAAAATCATGATTTATGCATTCTACTAAAGACTACCATACCACTGATATATGGAACCACATTAATAAATCTCACAAGAATAATATAGGCCCCCCAAAAAGACACATACATAAAAAAGCCATACACGATTATATGATTCAATTTATATACAGTTAAAAAAACAGACACAGCTTATCTATATGAGTAGTTACCTATGGATAGGAGGAAGGTTAATTAACTGGGAGGCAGTTGAAGAAATGCAGTGATTAGCATGATTTCTGATTTTTTTTTTAAGATTATATTTATTTGAGAGAGAGGGAGCACACGTGAGTGCATGAGCAGGGGGAGGAGCAGAGGGAGAGGGAAAAGCAGACTCTCCGCTGAGCAGGGAGTCCTGAAGGATGTGAGGCTCCATTCCAGGACCCCAGGATCATGACCTGAGCCAAAGGCAGATGCCCATCCTACTGAGCCACCCAGACACCCTGGCATCATTACTGATCTTGATCTAGATGAGAGTTATACATGTGTCTTCACTTTGTAAAAGTCATTAAACTTGGGACACTTTTCTCTGTATATATTTCAATTTTTTTTTTAAAGATTTTATTTATTTATTTGACAGAGAGAGATCACAAGTAGAGAGGCAGGCAGAGAGAGAGAGGGAAGCAGGCTCCCTGCTGAGCAGAGAGCCCGATGCGGGGCTCAATCCCAGGACCCTGAGATCATGACCTGAGCCAAAGGCAGAGGCTTAAACCACTGAGCCACCCAGGCGCCCTGTATATATTTCAATTTTTAAAAAAAGTTTCCTGCCAAAGCTTTCAAAATTCTATGCAGTGTAAAAAATAAATTGGTATGTGTCAATATGGAAAGATGGCCATGATATCAATGAAAAAGTATAGAGTTTTATGAATATATTTTCACATAATCTATCCTGTTTTGTATAGTAAGTAACAAAAGCTTATACATAGCCAAAGACACACAATAGGAATTTAGAGTGGCTGACTCTTCCTATATTGCATACCTTTATATTATTTTCTTAATCTTCCTACAAATATGTATTTATTTTTAATCTTTTCCTATAATCACTACATGTTTTATTGGTTGTTTTAAAAACACTGTAATGAAGTTAAACAACAGACATGTGCAAAAAGAAGTTAATTTCTTCTTTCGTTAATTCTCCCGAGGTAAGCAATGTTAACTGTTAACATGTGTTGTTCCACAATTTTCTCCATGCATAATTATTAATTTAATAAAACAAAAGAAAGTAATAAAGAATTCTTCCCCAACCAATCTTTTGTGTGAAGAGGAAATAAGGAAGTCTTCCCTGTATATTTAATAACAGTTTTCATATAATAAATACAGAAAATGAAATAATAACTTTTTTCCAGAAGAGGCACTATAAAAACTAAATATGTACAACAATACATTCTGAAAAAAAAAATACAGTTTGCAGTGATTTTTCTTAATTAGCAGCTTGCTGATAAGTAAGTTTCCTTTAACACTCATCCTTCTGTGCCTGGTCCAAGCCTTTGGAACTTTAGTTGATCTAGGTGTAAAAAGGCCCTGCGGCTTTTCTTTACTGTCTGCTTTGGTACTTCTCCTTGGAAGACAAATTCCCTTTCCTCCCTCCCACTGCTGAAAAAAAAATGTCATTCCCCACATGTTTTAGCTCCTCAAAACCTCTTCTCCACCTTTCACAGGGCAGAAGAAAAGAAAAATTCACATATAATTTTCATAACTCTCTTACACTGAGATACTAAAACTAACACCCCATTAATTTCTTTCCACTAAGAAACTGATTGGTCACATTGAATTCAAAGGATGAAAAATGCCAGTCTCATTCACATTCTTTTCTGAGCTTAGCTTCATCATGCTCCTTCCAGTTCCTCAAATGCCATGCTCCCTCCCACTAGAGGGCTCTCTACCACAACCCATTCTGGTCAAAAACTCTGATGCAACAAATTCCAATGTTTCCTCTTCCTTCCCCTTCCTGGGCAATGCAAATGACCAATCACATCATCTTCATCCTTGAAAAATGTTAGATACAACTATCCAATGCAACTTTTTAGTCAGCTTCATGGACTGTTTGCTAGCTCCTTACATGCTAGTGTCCTCAGGGTTCCACCTCTAAGAATCTTCTCTCCTATACACTCTTCCTTTGGTCATCACAACTATCAATCACAATTTTAAAATTCTAAATGTCAATGACTTCCAGAGCACCAGACTGTTCTTTCAAACCATCTGCTAGATAGCTTCATGAGATTTTCCCACAGGTCTTCAGTATCGTTAACTTAACTCATATCTTCTTCCTTTAAATCTGCTCTTCTTCCTGTGTCCCCCATCTCAATTATACCTTCCACTCTACTCTCTCCTCAAATTCTCACATGATTACCATATCTAATCACTTCTTAAGATTC